ATCAAATTAAAGTAAAGTTACAGTGTATCAATGGGCAACATGGTGGGGTGGGGTCCAGTGTCCACTTTTGAAGAGTTGGAATGTTACATGCTCAACATTTGTCAGCACCTCAGAGTGTTACACGCATTTAGAGGGAGAAATGGAGAATTATGATGTGACTTTAATAAAAATACAAAATGTGTGAATTATTTCTTGTTTAAACTAACTTTGTTTTTAAATATTAAATCAATACGTTGTACCCCACATTTGCAGTGTAGTAGAACTGTAGAAGTATTTTATTTTCTGTGTCAAAAAAGAAGTATTTTATTATTATTATTATTATTATTATTATTATTTTAATATAGAGGTAAGATGAAAAAATATTAGGAAGCCCTCTTAATACTCTCTCTGTTTCTATTTAGTTGATGCGTTTGATTTAGGCACATATATTAAGGAGAAGAGAGAGAATGAGAGAGAGTGAGAGAGAATGGAAAAGCAAGTGGGGTAGCTTGTAAATACAAGGTAAAAAAAATTTACCCCAAAACGTGTCAACTAAAAAAAACTTCCTAAAAAGGAATATGTGTCAACTAAAAAAAAACTTCCTAAAAAGGAATATGTGTCAACTAAAAAGAAACAAAGGTAGTATATTAGAAGAAAGAATAGAGAACAAATTAGAGTATAAGTATGCTATACAAGTATCAAGTTAAGATTGGTCTATATCCCATTAGTGACACTTTGAGTTGGGGGATTCCTTACCTTTTTCCTCACTTTTAAAATGTTTAACCCATTAACCCAGGCCGAAAGGACCTGTGAGAGGTTCCGGCATCGACCCTTAAGGCCCTTCTTCTTACCAACCAAAAAAAAAAGTATGATATGCAAGTTTACAACCGGAGCACACACTACAAAAAAAAATCAATATAGCATCAACTAAAATTTGTTGCTGTTCACCAAAAATCCGTTGCCAACTCTATTTAGCAACGGGTTGGAAACAAAAATTTGTTGTTGCTAAAAGGCTTGTTGCCACGGGATTTTGAAAACCAGTCGCAAAGCAATTTTGTTGCAATATTGCATCATTTAAATATAGTTTCCATGATTGTTGTTGTTTTTGGTGCATTCGTTGCCAACTTTGGCAACAGATTACCATTGGTTGTTGCTAAAATTAGCAACAAATTATTAATGTTAGTTCCTAAAATAGCAACAAATTATCAATGTTGGTTCCTAAAAATAGCAACAAATTATTAAAGTTGGTTCATAAAAATAGCTACAAATCATTAATATTGGTTGCTATCAACACTACGAGACAAAACCCAATCCCTATTAGCAATTCGGTTCAACCCGATCTCGGCCTTTACCAATTTAAAATCTCACTCAGGTTAGGTCAACTCGGCTCGACTTTGCATGTAAGGCTCTTTGAATCCCCAGTCTCAAGAATCGCATTTGGTAGGAGTAGAACTTGCGACCTCAAAGTCAGATGGTGAATCTCTTACCAACTATACCAAGTACTATTTGTTTACTTCTATGCATATAATTTATAATAAGTGAACAAAATATTAGAGACAAAATTGAAAAATTTGTCTCCAAATTAGTGAAAAAATAAAAAATCCGTCTCTATTTGATGTCATTTTAGCAACAAATAATTTTATACATTACAGCAAAAAGTGGCTTACATATAAATTAACAACAATATGTAAACACAACTCGTTTCCAATGGCAACAAACAAAATAACGCGTTATCAATTAGCAACAATAATTTAGAAGACTTGTTTCTAATAGAAACGATTCAAAAATTCATTGTATTTGTTTGTTTCTAAATCAATACAAATAAAATATTTGTTGTCATAGTTTGTTACTATTTGGCAACAAGAGAAAAATATGATGCCGTCTAGTAACAACTAGTAAGATAATTTGTTTTAAAAAGCAACAAATCTAAAATATGTAGCCATTGTTTATTAAAAACTAAAGCATAAAATGTCGCTTTTAATTAGACAATGAAAAAATTTAGATTCGTTGCTATTTAGCAACATTTTAAAAATCTGCTGCCAAACTTAATTGCTAAAAAGCTTTTATTTTTGTAGTGACATGAATTCAAAGGTCGCCCATTATCCAATATGATCATATCAGGCCGCATCAGTTCATGTTAGAAAATTTTGAAATATATTGGTTTGGTTGTTGAATTTTACTAAAATATATCACTCTCTTAAAATAAAATCTAAAATATTAGTAGTGACCTTTATTTTGCATTTTTGTTCAAACAATATATCACTCTCTTAAATTTTTTAAAATAATAGAAGTAGCAAATCTCATTTTAGTTTGGTTGTTGAATTTTCACTAAAATTTGAGACGTAAACAATAAAGTGTGTCTAGTTTGATTTTGAGATGTTTGTTTGTTTACCAATCACTCACATTCCACTTGAAGTTATTTTATGCAGTCATGAGCATGATGTGAATTGAATCATACTATAAAGCTAGCATACAAATCATAGGTATAGATTATACAAAAATTAAAAACAAAATAATGTGTTTTTTCTTCGTTCACAAAGAAACATATAATACCAAACACATATACTAATTCAATTTGAAGAACACAAAAATTTAATAAAATAAATATAAGTATAATAAAATGAACAATTGAACATTAAGGCCCTGTTTAGTTCGCCTTATATTTGCTTATCTTGACTTATATGATCTGGTCTGGTCTGGTCTGATATGATTTGATTTGAATGTCAGATTTGACCAAACTTTGACCTTAAAAATACGATGATCTATACGGAAAAATTATCAAGTGGAGTCTTGTTAGATTCGTAATAATGTGTATTTTATTAATATGTGATTTTTAGAATTTTTTAATTACGAAATTAAAGATATTTAGCGATAAAAACTGCACATAAAACGATGATCTGATCTGAACTTATTTTTTCTAATCTGATCTGATAAATAAGGTGAACTAAACAAGGCCTAACTCTTTAAGGGCTTGCCCCTCTCCTTCACCAAAAAAAAAATCAAAAAAATCTAAAACATGCCCTAAAATCTCGACAGGTCAAGAACACAAAGTAATAATGGAAAAAATTGATTGGAAAACAAAAAAATTTTCTAGTGTAAAATTACTCGTAAAATCTATTATATATTCTCGTTTTGTTCTTTAATGTTCTTTACTATTATTACTCCATATAACATGAAAACAACAAACAAATATTTTTACAATGTTGTAAAAAATGGATGATTTACAAAAATATAGCTTTTAAGAAACTTATTTACGGTTTTGCATTGAAATGAAACTTATTTACGAAAGTACAGTCTACGTATGCTTGGAGATACATTTGGGATAATTTTTTTTCTTTAGAGACAAACCTCTACCTTAAGTAGTGCTGTAGCGGTTATAGTCTAAAACCGCTACGTACTTGAGGTAGCAGGGTTTGTCTTTAGTACTCTAAGTAAAGATACAACTAATCAATTTATAAAGGGTAAAACCGCTACCTCAAGTAGCAGTGAGTACATAAACCGCTACTTGAGGTAGCGGTTTTACTCTGAAAAATATTAAAATAAAAAAAACTTATCCGAGCCTACGTGGACAGTAATTCCGTAATTAAGTTTCATTCCGACGCAAAAGTGTAAATAAATTTTAAAATAACCATACTTTCGTAAATCATCCGTAAAAAAAATTACATACAAAACTACTCCGTATAAACATTAACTAGTGTTTATCCCTAGCGATACTCCGGATCGGTACTTTAAATTTTATTGTATTATAGTTTTCACGTGTTATATTTTATGTAGATGAATTTGACTTTTAATTTTATTTTACGAGGTACATGATAATCTAAAGTACATCTTTTTAGTTTAGATTTAATCTAAGAAAACATTTTGTGTTCTAGCTAGTATATAGTACGGAGTACCCCGTAATACTAAACAAATAGCAACTGTAAAATTATAAATAAATACACTCTCATGGTCTACATTAACTATATTTAAAAAGAATATATAAACAACATTATTAGATAGCAAAGATGGTGTAACTTCTTATTTATTTTCTAATTGACTCGAGTTCAATTCTTGCCATAAGCATTTTTTAGTTGACGTGTATTAGACCACCAAAACGCAACCAAATTGCAGAACCCCAAATCCAACCAAATCGCACAACCCCCAAATCCAACCAACTCGCACGTCCACCTAATCCAACCAACTCGCACGGCGACGACTTTGAAAAAGGTAAAAGGGGCGGCGAACTGGAGTCGGAGAAATTGGCAACTGTCACGAGTACGAGGGTCGTGCGACAATCGAGGGTAATTGAAACCCGATGACCCGATCTACCTCACCACCACCATCAAATTGAGACCCGACCTCACCACCATCAAGAACCGAAACCCCATATTGCCACCATGATTTGAAATGCGCCCCCAACCACGAGAGAAGATAGAGAAGAGATGGTGCGGTGGATCTGAGTCGTGGTGGTGGTGTGGTGGCTCTAAGTCGTGGTGGTGCGGTGAGAGAAGAGAGAGAAAAGAGGATAGGGATGGTGCTGGTGTTGGTGGTGGATATGGTTGTGAGGGAGAAGAGAGAATGTGGGTTAGGGTTTTAATTAGGAATAAATTAATTTGGGTTAAAGAGTTAATATGTTGTTTATTAAAGTTAACTAAAATTTAGTAGGGGTATGGTGGTAATTTTACATAAAAAAATTTACTAAAAGAGGTAACTTTTGGTTTGTTGCACATAATGTGTATTTTCCGTTTTGGAAAATTGTTGCAGATTTTATGAAACGGAGCTTGTAGTATAGATTTACTCCCTCCGTCCCCGAAAGAACGACCCATTTGGCCTAATTTTAGTCCCAAAAAGAATGACCCATTTGCATTAAAATCCCCACCAATTTGCAATAATATTTGTGCAAAATTAGCTTCCCCATATAAAATTTTGTTTATCTATGTATTTTTATTACTTCCTCTCTCTACTTTTTTACAAACCCCGTAAATTTATCTTTTCAATATACTTGTACTTCTTTTTATTTAATTTTTTTAATACCCGCAAAATCAACCTAAATGAGTCGTTCTTTCGGGGACGGAGGTAAAGCATAATTTATGGACTTATGGTGAAATGTACATATTCGTATAATATATGGGTCCAATTCTGCTCAGAAATTATGGAGTAAAAATAAAAATGGGTCCCCAATCTCCTTTTAAAGTTATGTGCATTGTGCAGCAGCAAAACGTAACACACTTCAATTTTTTTTTTTGGTTTTTCTTTTCTTTAACAATTCCTTTGAATTTTATGATTTTAATTTGTATTTTAAGCTTTTTATTGTATAATTACAATTAATTTTTTGATTATTTTTTTCTTTGAAAATTAATTTTTTTTAAAATTCATCAGATCTGATCTTGCGGCGTTTTGCTCTGTCGAAGCCTCTGTTTCTCTCTCCTCCCTACCATCCCAACAACACTTTCACTTGACACACTAAAATCTCCTTTTGTTTTCTTCTGTTTTTTTGGGTCTTCTTTTTATTTTTGGTATTTATTTTATTACTACTACTAATTTAGGTTATAATTCTTGTTTCCACTTCCAATTTCTTAATCCCCAAATTGAAAAAAAAAAAAAAACCCTTCTCCTCTCTCTAAATTCTTCTTCTTTTAGATGAAGAAAATGTAGTGTCTTTTTCACAAATTAATGGGATTTTTCCATATTTACTTGGGTAATTTTTCTGGGTAATTTCTAATTTTGTCTGGGTAACTTTTTTCTATTTAAATATATAAAAAATTTCGTTTTTTTGCTCATTATAATGATGATCTTGTGCACTGTATAAATAAATTAGCTTCAAATGGCAGAATGTGATTCTGGTGGGATTTTCTAACGACTAATTTAATAAATTATCTGGTGGGTATCTCTCTATCTTTCTCTCTCTTAAATTATCAAGCTCTTGTTGTTGACTGTGTATTAAATGTTGATTATTTTGTTAATTAAATTAGTAGTAATAATATTAATAAATTTATACAGTACCATGATTCTATATTTGTGTTAATTTATTGATCTGGGGTTCTTCTTTTTGTGTATGGTTTCTGGGGTTTTTGGGTTTCTCCTTTTTTCCCCAAAAACTCTCATTTTTGTTGTCTTTCTTTCCCCCCTTAAACCCTAATTTTCTAGCTTTTTTAAACAATGATTCAATGTTTAATGTTGATTTCTTTACAGGGGTGCAGCTAATTTGGGTTGCATGTGTTGTTCACAAGACCTTTCTTGTTGATTCCTCAATTGTATGGTGTAGTACTTGTCATTTCTGATAGAAAGGGTTTATCTTGCATTGCCAAATACATAGGGTTTATGTTTGTGTCTGTGATTGAGATTGAGATTGCAAAGGCGAAACCGGGTTTTGGGTTTTTGTAAAGAGATATATATATATATAGATAGGTGTTGTAGATGGATATATATAAGTATCTATGAAGTGTGTGATTTGAATGGGTACTCAAACAATGGGATCTCAAGGTGGTATAGGTGATAGTTCAGTACCAAAGCCTCCAAGTTTATCTAGACAAGGTTCATTGTATAGCCTTACACTTGATGAGGTACAAAATCAGTTGGGAAATTTGGGGAAACCCTTAAGTAGTATGAATCTAGATGAGCTTCTTAGGAATGTGTGGACAGTGGAAGCTAACCAGACTGTTGGAGGAAGTAGTAGTAATGATGTTGATAGTGGTGCTCAAAATCTTAACCAGGGTGTTCCTGGGGAGGCGTCTCTTAATCGACAATCGAGTTTTAATTTGTCTCGGGATCTAAGTAAGAAGACGGTTGATGAAGTTTGGAGGGAGATTCAGCAGGTGAAGGAGAGGAATCCTGAGAGGCAAAATACACTAGGTGAGATGACATTGGAAGATTTCTTGGTTCAAGCTGGGATTGTTCTTGATGCAGCTGGTGGTAATGGTGGTGGTGGAAATGAGAATGATACTAGCAGTGCTGTTCAATGTAACTTGGGGGGTATTGATCCAAACTCTGGGCGACATTCGAATGTTCCGCAACATGCTCAGTGGATGCCTTACCAGCTACTTCCACAGCAGCAACAGCATAGTATGATGACAATGTTTATGCCAGGACACCATGTTCCTCAACCTATTGCTGTCAGTGGCGGAGCTCTCTCAGATACAGCTTACCCCGATGCTCAATTGGCTGTTACAACTACTCCTTTGATGGGAACGTTGTCCGATACACAGGCAATTGGTCGGAAGAGGCTTGCTCCGGGAGATGTGGTTGAAAAGACTGTAGAGAGGAGGCAGAAGCGAATGATTAAGAATAGAGAATCTGCTGCACGTTCTCGAGCCAGGAAACAGGTTAAATACAGATTATTGTCTCTAATTTTGCTTTGCATGTGTATAAATTTCGGTTACTGTCTTATATTTTGTTATCCAACTGGTAGAATTTTGTTTCTACTTTGTCTCTGATCCTCCATTCTCATGATAAAGTTGTGATTATGGTGGACAGGCTTATACCAACGAGTTGGAAAACAAAGTTCAACGGCTAGAAGAGGAAAACGAAAGGCTAAGGAGAATGAGGGTATGTTCTGCTACCATATTATAGTATTCATGGTTGTGAAATTCGCATTTTAAAAGGTCCTAATTTTATACTAGTGCTGCAGTTGTGCTATCTCAATCCCTTTCTATTAAAGTGAGGGAAATTCGGTCTTTTATTGGATAATCTTGTGGTAGAGTCTCCACTTTTAAAATTTGTTGCGATAGTGTATCTTTGATGTAGTACTTGATAACTCACATTAACAGTTGGTGTGTAGTCAGAAAATAATAAACATTCATTTTGTAAGGCTAGATTTTGACATCTTACTAGATGATATTTTGAGCAGTTTGCAGTTTGATTGGCAAATCACAAGCTAGTTGCATTCTTTAGGCAGTAGATGGATGAAAGCAATTATCTGGATCTAATTAGAGTGTCTAAACAACTTCAAAGGTTAGGATTCAACTATTTGAAATAACATTTTCCGACTCAGTGTTTCATATAAAGGCAGATGGGATGACTTTCCAAAAAATATATATTCAGTCTTGGCAAATTAAACCAATATTACTCCATACTTGTTCGTTGGCTGGTATGGCTTGAAAACAGTGGCTTGTTGATTTAGAAATTTTATGATTTCTTGGTTGGGGAGTTTTGGTCTGAAATGTATACTTGGTGTCTCTAACTCACTATCATTGAGATTAGCCCTTTAGGCTTTTCACCTGCATACTCTTTGGCTTCTGTGCATGGCCAACTCATAATGAAATTGTATCTGAAGTAGTCTATCAGATTTCCTTATAAGAGATGCATTTCTAGCCTCACCCTAGCCCTAATATTTCTGTAACTCCCATATCATTTTTTTTTTCTTTTCTGTTGTTTGTTTGGTTTTGGTTGGATGGACGGGAATTTACTACACAATCATACATGGTGTAAGCCGTGTGACTGAGCAGTTGAGCACAAGAGTAGTATGTTTGCAAAAATTCTGAAGAGTGCTCCTTTTATGTATAATAATGGATATAGACATCTTTATAGTTTTTCAGTTTGCTACTTACCTCAGTAAGGGTGGTTAGTTCACCCTGCATTTAGCTGGGCATGCAATGTCCTGGAGAAAGCCAGTCTCATAGCAACAAAGTTGCCCTTTGCTTGCATGTTTTTCTTTGATAAACATGGTATTGCTAATCATCAAGCTACCTTTTCCCCTTATAGCCTCTAGGCTGATTGTAGGTTCTGAAGCAGCTTTTTTCTAGTAACTCTTGGGTGAAAGTACATCCCGTGATAATATTTTTTTCTTCTTCTCTGTATCAGTTATGGCTGACTGGCTGTGCTTTCAAAGTGCTGACTAATATGTTTAATAATTGTTAACTGGTGCTGAGTGAATGCTGACTAGTATCTATAGTTCAATACCGTCTCATGTTAAATGATACTTAGTCGTTATTTCATATACTGTTTTCATCTTGCATTTTGTGACTTTTGATGACACTGTAAGGTCATGATAGAGGTGGCTAATGGGCTGGGTTTTCCCTTGCCCAAACTCCCAGACCCGGTGAAGGTCCACCTTGGATCATCAGTACATGGGTCTTGGGTCATGCCTTCTAAATCTGACCTAGCTAGCCCGGTCTATAAAGCAAATTGATAAATCTAGGCCCTCTTGAATCAGCCTGGCCAAGGCTTGTAACCTGTCTGTGAACCACATCAGTCCAAGCCTGGGTTCCATCCCTGCAGCCCAGTTGGCTATAAACTAGCTCAGGGCTGTTAGCCACTACGAGTCTTGGATTCAACTAACTTCTAGCTCAACATATCTTACTAGATGATTGTTTAATAAATGGCTTGTAACAAGTCTGTGAACTACATCAGTCCATATGTTGCTAGCTGTGTAGTTTTAAGTTGTCATCTTTATCACTATATTTGATTCATGTGAGCATGATTAATTTCAAAAACTTGTACTAAGTTGTGTTTTTCTTGACTGATCCTTCCTTTGCCCTTTATGATGATTATCTGTTGACAGGAGGTGGAGAAGGCCCTGCCAAGTGTTCCCCCTCCTCAACCCAAATACCAGCTCCGACGAACAAGCTCAGCACCTCTCTAGCGATCTGTTCATGAGCAGTTGTACGATGCAAAGCCGTGGAAAAAAGAGTGTACGACCTTATAGTGTTTAACGAGCAAAGCTAACTGTTGTCCTGGAATGTCTGCATCTTTCATGTCAGATTGTTCATCTTTGTAACTTTTCTACTTCTCCCCCCTTTCTCATAAATCTGGCAGTTCTCCTAGTCTGCAACTGCTGCTGATTTTCCTAGGTTTTTTTTTCCTCTCTTTTTTAATTCCTTTTTATTTATTTATTTATTTTTACCAGTTTCTTCTATTCCTTTGTGAGTAGCCTGTGTATGTACATTTTAAGTATCGAACGAATCTTAAGAGAGTTGCAAGAAAAGGAAAAAAGAAAATTTTAGAATGCAGCTAATGTTCACTCATAGTTGTCTCGTTTTATTGTTTGGTCGAAATTACTGCTTGAATTGCTAATTTCTGGTTCATGATTTGTATTTTCTTGTATGTGAGACGCGCCTTCCATCATTTAGATAGTTACTGGTAAATTGGCTATAAAATATGTGTACTCGGTTTGTATAAATGAAATCACATTTAAGCTGTACTTAGAAAGCTCCATTTGTTGTTTCTCCTGTACTTCCATTTATCCATGTATTCATTTTTTCTTCAGTTGAGATAGCAGAGCAGTTTATTAGGCAGTGGTGAACTGGTAATGATTTGTTTATTTTAATCGTATGACATACATTTATTAATTATTGACTAATTGTACTTAAGATTACATGACACAAAATTTACATTAGATGATTGAAAGACCATAATAAGCCAATTTATAATGATTTAACAAATTTGTTTAATATTTGTCTCCTTTTCCTCTTCCACAGTGATCTTAAGATGTCATCAAATTTTAAAAACATGTTTCTTTAAGACATTATAGTTTATATGACTACTAATTCCACGAGGGAGTAAATATGTCATAAGCAATGAAGCGTATTTGAAATAAGAAACTTGTATTTGGCAAATGATTTTGCTCACATGTAATAAACAGGAAAGTCGCAAGCAAACTTGGGGTTATCTAAAGCGAAACAAAACATTGCACATTATAGTACAGCAATGAGCTAGCTACAACAAATGCCTCCAGTCCAAAGATTAGGGCATCATAGCGATCATTTTGCAAATATGCAGGTTACCTATGCTGTTATCTTCTGCTGTTTAAGCACTTTACTATAGCCGGGACCAAGACTACTTAACCTTCATTATGTATGACTTTGTTCTAAGCAACAGTCAACAGATAGTCATGTTGAATCTATTGTATGAAGAAGCATTGTAAAAAGTCTAGCAGACTAAAAGCATCAATTACAATCAAGTCTTTTGATAGTCAAAAGATTACAAACTGCATGAACATAGTCAACTGATAATTTAGTCCAAAAGTTCTGATCAACGACGACCTATAGACCTGTGTTACCAGCCAAATCCATATGCATAATTTCGCAAAAAGCATAGAGATAGTTGTGCATTGGTTATTTGATTATCCTAAATTCCTAATATCCTACATACTTCATGGTAAACTGAGGGGCTAATGTTTCAGATCATTGTTTTAAAAGGTGTAATTAACAGAAGAACATGGAGGTGCACACTCTGTCATGCAGCTTGGGAATTTCAGGCACAGAAGGATTTCCAACAGAAGTCATGCTTCCATGACCCGATGATGTTTCTGACAGGTCTTCATACTTCAGGAACTGGGATACTTGGGTGGCTTCCAGATGAGCATATCGAATAGGTGCAGCTGTAGGAAAAAGAGAGAAACATGTTGTAAATTTGAGGTATATTTATTTTTATTTTAATGTGTTAAACGACTGTATACCAAAGTTAGCAATAAGATTTACCAATAGATATAGCAGTAGTGCTCCTCTGGTACCTGCAAGTGTTGAAATATACTCTCTAAATTAGATTCTTGAGCATATATAGCTTTCAGACACAATTTTGCCCTTAAAAAAAAGTTCAAGAGCCTCTTACACGTAGGATAGAGAGTGAATCAACTCTTGCAGCTGATCTGCTGAAAAGCCAATCTCATCCAGCAGAACATGATAGTGAGTTGGCCTGCTCGTTCCCTACATTTTAACCCGCTATATATGAGCATAGATATGAAAACATTCCAGATTTCTAGTAGCAAGATTTAACAGAAGTGATGAACTCATTAGAATATAGAATAGTCTTGCACAAATTCCTCAATTTACCTCAAGTGTTACATTGTCATTTTTCAATACTCTTGAACATGTACCAATTTCTGACACCAATGTTCAAGTTTAACATAATATGATAGTGCATGACAATGCAAATGAAAGAATCAAGATTAGGTGAGCTAATGAAAACCTAAAACTCAAAAGAAAAGAAAGAAACTTCAAAAGATTTTGTTATACTCACAATCATCCCTGCCTGTGCACACATGTAGAAATCATAGTAAAGAGGATGGCAGACTTTGCTGTCAACCACGGTACCTGCATAAAAGCAACAATTTAGGCCAATATGGACTTTCTGAATTCTTAGGGAAATCTGATTCTTTAGGTGTGCTAGATTTGCTAACCAGGTGGTACATTGTTAGGACTTCCTTGCTCGAAAAATTTGGTATGATGATTTTTCTGAGCAATGATAATGGTGAACTTAGGAGACCAACTTTCATCAAGAGCTTTGCATGCCTGCAAAATGAAGTGATTTTGCAATAATGCATATTCTTTATGTGAACATTCTCGAATAACATTCAAATCATATATGGCTATTCAGTTTAGGGAACATTTGCAACAGACCTGAAGAATCTGTTCAAACTCTATGTTGAGGACCTGCTTAAACTGTGATTCACTCACTCCATCCCTGATCGAGCGTGTCAGAAGTAAAATACTAGTCCCTGCAATGGAATCTTAAGATTGCATAAACACACCATATGTGTTTCGGGTGAAAACAATGGGACCTTGTCGAAGGTCCGATGAAGTGGAGAAGACTAGATTCGATCCAAGTAATGTTGGGCCGAAGGTTTCCTGCACAGTAAACACACGTAAACTAGCCTCGGGGGTGTTGCCGAGGAAGGCCCCTCCGATGCTAAAGTCAGTACAGTGCGTAGAAAGAGAACACTATGCAAGAGAATTAATTGCTTGAGGCTTTGCTTGAATGAATGTACAAATGTAATATTGATGACTTTTATACCTCTGCATACATGGAGAAGTTGGGCCTTAGCCCAATTGGCTTGCCTTGAGGACTGATCTTTGACTTTAGCACAATTGGAGAGATGAACCTTGACCTTGGGCTTTTAATTGGATCATTTAATGCCTAAGCCCAATTGGACTAAATTGGACCCAAACAACTTGCCCCCCAGACCCGATTTGGAAGGATGACGGGTCAGGTTTGATTTAATCAGAAAAGGAGGGAAGTGAATGATTTAATTAATCCAAAAATTTGAATTTAAACCGTAATTAAACCGTAATTAATGAGATAACAACAGTTAAGGCGGATAATTGTGGAAGTTGGACGGATAATGGGCAGTTTAATCGCAAGGTCGTGTGTTTAACGGTTACTTAGTGGGGTATTTAAGAGAAATTGAAACGCGGACTCCCCGTATTCCCATTTCTGGAGATATAATTAGAGGCGCGTCATCTCTCCTCACTTAGAGAACCCAAGAACCCGCATCAAAACTTCGCAAATTCCCCGAGCATTAAGCTTAGAAACTGAGACTCGCCACTACCAATTCGTAAATCGGCAACTTTCGCTTCTGATTAAGGTAAATTCCTTTGATTTTAGTTTATTTTTCTTCGAATTTGAACTCCTTCCCTTTTTTTTCGACTTTTTTCTTCGAAATTATCAATGGCGAGAGGAGTTAGGGGTAGAGCCCGTGCTCCAAGAAGAGCAAGGCCAATTCCCGATCCCAGGAACAGGATTGGGACCTGGAATGGACAAAGAGCAGAGTCTGACCCTGCTGAAGGGATTAGGGCGACTCCAATTTCCTCGGCTCCTCCTTAGAGAACGGAGGGGCCGAGCGCTTCTGGGCGGGACGATGAAGTTCCCGCTGTCCTTTGGGATATCCTTCCCGGGTTTTCAGAGTGGGAGGATGCCGAAGTAGCTTCGGCCATGATAAAGAACCGCCCCTACTCATGGTGGGTGGAGAATGCCGAACAGTATCAGTTTGCCGAATAAATTGAGTTACATTACGGCATCCTTGAAGCTGATGGGTATTGGTGCCGAATGCCCGTGGCATCCGATAGAATCCATCGTCCACCCCCGGGGTATGTGGGGGTGTACACAAGACAACTTCAGTATGGGCTGAGGTTCCCTTTGGACGTATTCGTCCGAGACTTGCTGATCCATTACAATATTTCCCTATGTCAGCTAACTCCTACTAGCATCCGAAGGGTGATGACATACTTATGGGTCTGCAAGTTCTTCAGGTATGTGCCGAACCTGCACTGCTTCAAAAAGCTTCATCGGCTAGTGCCAAATATTCAAAGTGGGCACGGAAGTCATGGTTCTGGGTGGTACCGGATTGAGTCTCGGCCCCAGTACCTAACCATGTGGCCGAACGACTCTTCAGACAAGGACTGGAGAGGTCAATGGATTTGGGTTAGGGCACCCACGGACCCGGGCCACCCTTGCGTCTTCAGCGCTCCCCGGTACCTTGCTGAGCCTGATCCCGACATGGGAAGTTTAGGTCCCCCCGCAGATAACGACCCAGATCCAAACCTTAATCAACAGAATATCTTCGGCAAGCTGCCGAACCGGGGGGGCAGCGGCTGAATGCAGCATATCCCGGAGACTTGGCTCCCCGATACGCATTATGTTTTCCAAGAGAACATGCTAGCAGCTGTCGGCCTCAGCCGAAAGTTTAAGGATGGTAAGCTTCTTCGGCTGGGGCCGAGGCTTTTTAATTATCTCTTTTTCTCTTCTCACTTCGCTTTTTTATGCTGTGCCAACCTAACTGAACTGACCTTTCCCCTTTTCTTTTTTCAGAGCGGGACGAGACCAACGTCGGCATTAACTACGCTCGTCTTGGCGTCAACCGAGAACGAGTTGTAACTGATCGGGCCCCCTCTATCACTGAACCGCGGCATAGAGAAGTTCATCTAGACTCTTCCCACTTCCAAATTGAGGCTGTTGCTCTGTATCAAAGGCAGAAGCCTTGGTGGAAGAAGAGAGATCCCTGGTTTCAGCTGCTGGACGAAGAAGCTGAAGCTGCCCGTACGGCCGAAGAGGTTGCACGGGTTATTGAAGCTTGTGAAGGAGGAGAAGGGTCCTCCAGGGCTGCTGAAGAAGAAGCTGCAGCTAGGGCAGCTGAAGAAGACGAGGCTTTGCTGAAGACCTCGGTGAGCTTTCAGACTTAATTTTGTCTGTTTCTGTTTGTTGTTTTGTTTTTACTCACATTCTTCCTCCCCCCTGTCTTTTACAGTCTGAAGAGAGTAATAGACACAGAGAAGGGAAAGCCCCTATTCGTCCCGAAGACCAGATACAAGAAGAGTCCTCAGACTCAGACATGGACGAGCAGCCGCTTCAGAAAAGGCGCCGAAGAATGGCCATCATCGGCCCCCGTGACTTTCAGCGGAGGCCGATGACCATCGGCGTCGAAATAAGGGAACCCGAGGAAGGCAATGGATCGCCGAGGGTTCCCCGACCACCACCTCAATCACCTCCAAAGACCCCTCTACCACCTCCCGAGATGGAGGTGGATCAGAAAACTCCCGAACCTAAGGGAGGGGTCCAAGAAGAAGTTCAAGAGAGTGCTGCTGAGCACAAGAATGAGGATGCCGTGATGTCCAGTGCTGAGGGTTTCACGACAGACATTGCAAGAGAGGTTGAGGCCTTCGTCCTCACCCCTGAAGAAGAAGAGGTCATAATAATTGACTCTTCTGAGAAGGAGGATGCTGAGCCATCCAAAGTTAAAGAAGCTCCGTCGTCATCCTTTCCTTCCTTCCAGACTCTACAATCTGGAGAAATGAGTTTCTCGGCCCCCCGAATTCCAATCCCAGATCACATCTGGGACCTCATATGGGGTCAGAACCGAGAAGGTGCTGCAGCCTACTTCGGCGATTTTGCTGGCACGTCCGAAGTAGATAGGGCAAGAATCTGGTCGCTGAAGGCCACTGCTGGGATGGGCGAATCCAGCATATCAGTTCCTGACCCAGCCAGGTCTAACCAACTGCTGATGATGCAGGTGATTTTCCTTGCCTTTATCTCCTCTAAAATTCAGCTCTATTTTTTATTTTAACTTGTGCTCCTGTTTTCAGTTCGTGCACAATCAGACTCTCACTGTAGAGCTGATAGATACCCTACAAGATAGGGTAGACGCTGCCGAGCACGACAAAAAGGTAGCCGAAGGAGTTAAAGCTTGCTAAGCTGAAGCAAGCAGCAGCTGAAGAGAAGCAGCAGAAGGGTGAAGAATATGAGAAAAAAGCTGCTGAAGCCTTCAAAACCTTCTGCGATGCTATGGAGAAGGAAGTTTTTCCCCCACTGATGGAAGGGGAAAAATTCCTCCAAGAGCACATGGGAGTGGACATCTCCAAATTCAAGGCTACCATTGAGAGCCGAATCCAGGAAGGAGCTGCTGCACAAGCTGAAGTGCAGCAACGGCTAGAAGCTCTTGAAGCCAGCAGAATGGCTGCTGAAGAGATGCTCCAAGCCAAGGATGTCCAACTCTCAGAGGCTGCTGCTGCTGCTGAAGCTCAGAGAGCTAAGCTCCAAGAAGCTGAGGATCAGCTGATGGCCAAAAAGGAAGAAGTGGCCCAGGCCCAGACAGAGGCTTCCCAAGTTCAGCAGCAGCTGAATGAGCTAAAAGGTTCCTCCTTCAAGCTCGCCGATGAGCTGAAGAAATCCAAGGAAGACTTGGAGGAGACCCAGAAGAAGTTGGCTGATGCTGAGGCTCTACTCAAAGTCCGTGTCTATACCCAGGAAGAATATGAAATGGGTTTCAGAAACGGGTTCAGAGTGTGCCGAAGAGTCTGCCTTCATGCTGAGCCGAAGTTGGACTGGTCCAAATGTGCTGAATGGGTCCAGGATCCCGAAGACCCTCATATGAAGTATGCAACTCCAGTCGAAGCTGAAATCCTTAAGGCTGAGGAAGCCGAAGAAGAAGCTGAGAGAATGGAGTTGGAGGCTGAACAGAGGGAAAGGGAGGCTCGACAGAGTGCAAAGCCTGCTTCTTCTGCTGCTGGGGCTGAGACCACCATGGGGCCCAACAATGCTGACCAGTCTGATCCTCGGGCTAAAGCATAGGAACTCGGGCAGTCGTCTTCAGAATCTTGCAGTTCATCATGCGCTCAACTTTAGACTTGCCGCTTTCTGAATTTTTGCCTTGTTTGTTTTTTGCTTCAGCTTGCCTTGTCGTACAAAACAGTTTATTTTTTTTGCTTCTGTACGTATTTCGGCAGCTGTTATTTTCCGCTTGTGGGCGGCTGCCGATATAGTTTCTTAACTTATTTGAACTTGTAGCTCAATTTCTGAGCATAAATTATTAATTTGATGTTCTTTTCTTCAGCTGCTTTGTTTTTGAGTGCTTTACTGTTTCTTCAATTCTGCTGAACATAAACTTGCACTGGTAGTGCTTCTTGCCCCCCCAGAAATTGAAGTATGGCTTCAGCTGAATAAACAATTTCTTTATTTCTTAAAAATGGGTATTCGAAACACAGGGCCAACTGAAGGCAATGCTTCGGATAATGGCTTTCTGGGATAGGCAATATCGCAGAATTGTCCATGGACTCATGCCTTTGGAGAACAAATCTTACTGAAACTTGACTTCAGCTGAAAGACTAGAGTTCTTTAAAAAGACGAGTTTGCCAGCAATCAGAAACCCAGTTACCCGAAGACGAAGGTTTCAGACGAGGCTGAATAAACAA